AAAAAAAGAGAAATGAGGGTAACTAGCCCTAACATATATTAAGACATATTATAAAACTATGGTAATTAAAACATTGTGGTACTGTCACATGAACTGGTAGTTTAATGGCACAGAATTAAATCCAAAAATTGACCCCAATATATATGGGAATTTAGTATATAGTAAATATGGTATTTCAGACCTATGGAGAAAAGATGGAGGAGTCAATAAATGGTATTGGGACAACTGGATAGATATCTAGAAAACAGTTAAGTTGAATCTATATCTCTTTTTTTTTAATGCCAGAATAAATACCCGTTGGATTAATGACTTAAATTAAAAAATTAAACTCATAAGTGAGGATAGAGATGAAACAGATTGAACATGAATTGATAATTTATTTGTTCAAGTTTGGTGATGGAAATGGGGCAGGGGGTTTATTACACTATTCTGTATATATTGTATGTTTGAAATTCTCAACAATTAAAAGTATTGAAAATCAAATTTATAAAAATATTTGAAGAAAACATGGAATTTAAAAAATAATCTTGGAGTGAAGAAGGTCTTTCTAAGTATGATAGAAAACTGACAAACCATAAAAGATTGATACATTTTACTTCATTCATTAACTTATTTATTCAACAATTTATTTAGTACCGTCTATTTTTTTTTAAAAGAAACAGTGTAAGAAAAATCGATGAACAAATGAAAAGTGGGAGGAAGTTTTCTAACTTATAGAAAAGACAATTTCCTTTGTATGTAAAGATATTCTGCAACTCAATTAGATAAATTATCCTACAAATCCATTAAAAAACAGCAAATATTCACAACTTTAGTCAAAATAAATAACAACTTGGCTGGCCGGTTGGCTCTGTTGGTTAGAGCAAGGTCAAGAGTTTGAATCCCTATACTAGACAGCTGCCAAAAAAAGAAATAAAGAAATAAATACAAATTAAGAGTACATTTAACCCACATTTGTCAGATTGGCCAAAATCAAGAAGGTTTTGATAACACACTGTATTGGCGAGGTTATTGGGAAACTGGTACCCTCAGTGATTGGTGGCATTAGTGTAAATTGGTACTGCTTCTCTGGAGAGTTATTTGGTAACATCTGTCAAAATAAAAGTTGTACATAACTCTGACCCAACAATTCTACTTCTAGGAATTTATCTTACAGATATAATTTGTACATATGCAATATGATATATGTATAAGGGTATTCATTGCAGGATTATTTATGGTAGCAAGAGATTGGAAACAACCTAAATGTCATATCCATCAATAGGAACTGAGCATGTGTGTGTCCCTTCAAGGAAATATGCCACAGCCTTGATAAATTATGAGACAGCTCTTATTGATGTAGAATGATTTTAAACTATATTTTTAAGAGAAAAAAGTTTTTAGAACACAGCATATAATATGTGACTACTTGTTTGAAAAAGTTGACAGACACATGTCTGCCTGCATTACATGTGCAGACACAGTCTCCAGAAGGGTGCACAGGAATGAGTACAAGTTCTCTGGAGGAGAACTAGGTAGCTGGTAGATAGGGGTTGGGAAGAGACTTACTTTTCACTCTCTATCCATAGGTACTTTGAAAATTTTGTATCGTGAGTACTATTACCTGTTTTAAAATGATTGTTTAAAATGAAGTTTTTGTTCTTTTAATTTGTGTCCTCTGGAATTCAAGCTCCTGTGCTCTCTAGTGAATGAAGTCCATGAACCGTGGAACATAGCTTTAGGCATAGGGGGCTTCTATTTTGGCTGCTGAAAGGCCTTCCTGTTGGCTCTCTGTCTCAGCCATATTCTAGAAGTAGAATATGTTACTGAACAGCTGCATTCTGGTTGACAAGTGGTACTATGTGCCTAACTAGTGGTCACCTCTATGTGCTATTCAGGAGCAGATATCAACTCCAAATTTTCTTCTATATTCCTGATGTCTAACTGGATTGCAGATATCATTGGAGGGCAAACTTACCTACTCCCACAAGTCATATAGAGAAGTATTACTGTTAGTGACATGGGACCAGATGCTTAGCTTGGGCAAGGTTTTTAGATATATGGACTTTTGGCTGTTTGAGGTAAACTGGCTTCTCTGAGAAGTCAAACTGGACAGAGCCTGAACCTTAGCTCCTTCACTGACTAGCCATGTACCCTGGGGCTTGTACCTGAGCCTTTCCAATTCCTCCTGGATTATTGCAAGGATGACTTGAGAGGATGATGATGACGATGACACAACAGTGATGGCTAACACTGAGAGTACTTATTGTGCAACCCACACTGTGCTGAGGGTTTATGTGCTTCATCTCATTTTATCCTCACCACAAGGCAATGAGAAAGATGTGTTCTCTTCCTCTCTCACATAGATGAGGAAACTGAGTCTTAGAGAGGTTATGTAGTTGGTTGAGAACACACAGCTGGATACTGGGGGAGCCTGGATTTGAACTCAGCCCTGTCTCTTCAGTGCTTTACAGAGTATCTGTGCACTTAGTAGGTACTCACTGCATCTGCTCACTTGCTGCCCTACAATAGTGGGAGTGGAAAGTGACTTAGGTGTCCTTCTGACTCAAAGTAACAACTATGTCTTTGAGAAGTCTTACCAAATATGAAACCCATATAAGTGCTGAAGTACTGATCAAATGCAGATTTTCTTTCTTTTTAGACAAATGAACTTGTGTTGAGTTTGGAAGATGACGACAAACTCCTGCTAAAAGAAGACAGCACTCTGAAAGCAGCTGGAATTGGTGAGAAAGGGGGCCTTGTGTTGCTGGCAGGGACACTCACCTTCCCAGACTGTATGGTGAGGCCTGGCTGATTCTGTTTGGATAACTCACTGCAAAGTAAATGCTACCTTTGGTGCACCTGATCACTATTCAGAGGAGGAGGGCAAGAATGATGTGCATTCTGATCATTTGACCCAGGGCATTTATCTGCTCTCCAAATGTGCAGAATGCAAATAGTTCTTTTCAGATTATATGCTCAGAATTCTGCTGAGGGTCATTCTAAGTGACTGGCAGGTTATTAATACCATGTCTACTTACTTTTATCAGCATCATTTGAGCCGATGGTTTGAGAGAAGTGGACATAGTAGAACTAATTTGGAATAATGAAATGAGATGTTGTTTGTATAACATGCAGCATGGTTTCTGATTGTCATCCAAATCACTCAGGGCCGACCAAGGCATGGAATTTAAAATAGGAGCCTAGTGTCTACATTTGAAAAATTACCCAATTTAGCCTTTCAACCTGGAACGTGCATGTAGTTCTATTTTAAAGAAATGTTATGTGACATGTTTTGTGACCATTAGATGTCACTGTTATTCTACTTATATGTACACCTAAAGATGGTCTGGCAGTAGAGGGAGTGATCAGAGAGGTCTGAGTAGTTGAAGGCACTATGGCTAGTGACTGCGATGGAGCACCACAGTCATACTCCCTTAGTAATTGTTTATATGCACTGGATGAGGAACACTCTAAATGAGGTCCACATTGGGAAGCCTTACATTTTTTTGACAGGTGTTCTATTGAGTTACTTTAATCACATATGTCAGGAATTCACTTTTAAATGACTTGTGGTTAATGTGAGATCCTGACATAAAGGATCTGATTTAAAAAGGATTTTAAATACTATGTTGTGAAATCTTAGACTCATTTTCTCTAAGTCTACTGTTTGCTAGAATTAATGTCTTTCCATATTATGAATACATAAGATTGATTATTATTTAAAAAATGATTTTGATTTGGCATTTGTTTCTTCAAATGCTATTATATTATCGTAGCAGGTGGCACCTGTGCTATTGAAGCACATGGCACTTAGAAGGTAGCCCTGCTTGTTAAAGCATAAAGCTATAATGTATATAACAGACTGGTTTTGATATGGGAATTGATGGATAGCTCTGTGGGAAAGACTAGAAATCCAAAAGCAAACAAAAAAAAAAAAAGAAAAAGTAAGATTTTACAAAATAATAAAGTTGGCATCTCAGATAAGTGGGGAAAAGAATGAATTAGCCAGAAGATTGTAGTGGGCTTATTGCCAACCCATGTAGGAAAATAAAATTCAAATTCTTATTTTGGTCTTCATTTCAAAATAAATTCTAGATGGATTAAATGTTGTAATGTAAGGGAAAAAAATAGAAAAAAAAATATATATAGCTCAATAATTTTACAATTTTGGGGAGGAGAAGAGCTTTCTAAGCATGACCTCTCAAAGGCAGAAGACTTGAAGGGAGAAAAGTGATTTGACCACATAAAAACTAAAAACTGTAAGCAGAGTTGAAGGAGAAGCAATAAACTGAAAAAGTATTTGCAGCATATATAACAGATAAAAAGTTATTAGCTTGACTTTGTGAAGAGCTGTGTAATTAGTGCGAAAAAGGTAAACAAGAAATTCTACTGATAGGAGAAATAGCTAACATATGAAAAATAGTTCCAACTTATTAGTAATGAGAGCATTTAAAATAGCTACTATTTTATGTAGTATAATCCAGTGGTTAAGAATTTGATTCCAGAGCAGAGTGCTTGGGTTCAAACCCTGATTCTGCCTTTTACTGTCTGGGTGACCTAGGGCAAGCAGCAATTACTATAAGATTAGTAAACATGAAAAATAGTAGTAATATCCAAAGGAGTTCATGGTGTGGGGAAATGGATACTCTCTTGTACTACTGTTGGGAATGTATATTACCTCTAAATTTCTGTAGGTCAGTTTGATCAGTAAGACTTGTTCGAGCTTAACTTTGTCTCATATCTATTACTGAACCACCAGGAGTATGCTTCCTCAAGCTATGAAGTTGTGATATGCCGTCATATGCTGTCATATGCCGAGGGGTGGTGGGGTTATCTCTCACCTTCTCTGTTTGTGAATTGCTGATGTAGAGCTTTATTTATTGAGTGGAAATAAAATATATTGTGTGATAGCATTATTACTTAAAAATATGTCACTATTTACATGATCGTATGTATATATGGAGAAAAGATCATATACCAAAATTACAGAAATGGTTTCTTGGGGTGTTCATACTGCCAGTAACAGATTTTTTTCCTTTCTTCTCTGTATTATCCCATTGTTCTTTTTGTGATTTAAAAATTTTGTATAGTTTACATGTATTCTTCAAAATTAGGGAACCAGCGTTTTAACATAGAATAAACCCCTGAAGTTGGGAGAAATTGGTTTGAATGAGGGCTATACATTTTAATTGCTTTGTGACCTTCTGTAAGCCATTTAGCCTCTCTGAAATTGTAGTTTGTTTTCTGTAAAAATGAGAATGAAATCTATTTCAGAAGGTTGTCAGAAAGGTTGAGTACAAGAATGAATGTATCCGGAACAATCCATGTAAAAGACCCTCAAAGAGTACCTGTATTTTTGGAAACCATTCTGGAGAAGGTGACTGGCAAATGTTTTCACTTTACTAAAACATTGAGTTGTTGGTCTCATTGTCATTAAGTTCAGACTGACTTATGTAATGAACCTCCTATATAGATGAGGATTAAATTTCTTTTTTTGTTTTTCTTATTTTAAGACCATAAGTCTTGGCTTAGAATCAGATCCTTTTCACGGGTTCTCCACTCATTTCAGGGTGATATGAGGACTCCAAACTGCCCTCTGATCCTGGAAAGCCAGCAGCCCTGGTCAGGGGCGACTTTGGTCTCTGCAGGGAGCAATTTCTTCTTTGTTTCCTAGAGCAGTGTCACTGTACTGTAGGGAACAAGCCAAGGTTATACCCGGGGAAGGAAATGAGGGTCCCCAGTGAGCACCAAAAAATTCTAAGTAGAAATCGACTTGTAAAGTTGATACCTGAAGTGTGTGATTTTTCTAGGGAATTTTTCCTTCTTTGGTGCTGTATCTGGTTAGGTTTTTAAGAGATTTAAGAGAAGAATTGGAAGTCATCACTCTCCCTTTTTACCACTTGATCTTTCTGTAGAGCTGTCACTCTGCTCTCACAGCCAGTTACCATGGGAATAATGCCAGTGTAACAAATTTTTCATAATGACTTTTCTGCAGGAGTCATGAAAGGAAAAGAAAGGCTGGGGTGGGGCGGGGGGGGGGGAATTAGGGAAAAAACCTTATTTGAAGATTTCTTTTCTCATGGAGAAATTCTCCAGTTCATACTCTGGCCTTTTATCTGCACTGCAGATCCCCATTGTATATTCTACACCCGATGTCAGTGGAACTTTTTGCTTGTGGACTTAATGCTAAAATACATAAATAAACATTTGCTTTGTGGAATGAAGAAGAGGGTTTTGCCTAGAACTGTTATTTATAATTTAAAGATTTTTTACCTTGTTATAAACAATTGTAGTTTTATGGACTAATTCTCCTAAGTAATAAATTTGCATGTAAGTGATTTTTTAAAAGTGATATTTATCTTTTTAATTTTGCTACATTTTATTACTATTACCTTTTGAATCTCCTCTGGTTTAAGAGAGAAATTGTGGCAGGGTAACTCTTCTAAAGCCAGTTGTGTTTTTTTGGAATTATTTTAAAACAAGATTCAGTGGTCCAAACTGTTAGTGCCTATCTGAGGAAAGAGTTCTCGTCAAGCCAGGTCCTGTAATAATTCCAGAACTCCCTTGTGGTTTGTTTTCATTTTGCATGTCACTTCTGTCTGCCCACAGCCTGAACCAGTCTTCATGCCCTGCACCTTTTGGTTATCTCATATGCATGGCTAGTATTGCAGGAATCTTTGGCTCCCACTTCTTTATCAGGACCATGTTTGATTTGTGTTTCCTTAAGGTTTCAGTCCCTTTCCCATTCTTTTTTTTGTGTAGAAATATCTTAGGGCATACGTGTTTTCTTCCTTTGACAGAGCATTACAGTGGCTGTTCTTCACAGTTACATCTAAACAGTGATGCCGTCTGGTACCCAGTCATGTAGAAGGTGGCCTGAGGAATTGGGGGCTTCCAGAACGAGGAGTCAGAATGAACCTCCATAGATTGTTCTTCCCTTTTTACCCTCCCCTCACCATTGTGGAAATTATGGGCATGTGCCTAGTTTCTAAAAGGTCAAATTTTTTACCCGTTTGTTTTCTTCAAACTGTAGATTGAAATCTTCTCTGCCAGCTGATCCAAAGCAGACACTGGAAGCAAGTATGACATAAAAAGCACAGGAGATGCGACCTCTTAATTGATCGCTGGCCTCCGTTAGCAAAAACTTAGAAATAGAACTCAGCTGTGAGCACAGCTTTGAAAGATGTAATGATTTGTAGATTAGGATTTTGTGAAACTTGGAAGGATAGGATATACTCCTGGAACAGGTGAGAGGGTGAAACTTTATCCTTTGGTATCAGATCACTGCACAAGCCACACCTCCCCTTTTGTGTATTTTTTTTGTGAACAATCTACAGTTATTGTTGCATGCAGCCTGCCCTGGTCGGGGACTGTCTGTACCACAAAGACAGTGCACACGTCTCAATCTCTTTTCCTCCTGACAACTGGGGCTGTGCCTTATTCTGCTTTGGTGCTGATGAGCACGAGGCAAGGGACTTAGAAAATACTCAGTAAATCCTTGTCGATAGAGGAGTCTATTGAGATAAGTTAGTTCAACAGTTTAAATACATTGCATTTAATTTTTCTTGGGATTTTACACTTAAAATTGAGTTTTCTTATATTCTTTTACTTAAAGTCATTATTATTTTCCTGTTAAATGTTCGTGTGTGTGTCTGATGTGCTTGGAAGCATTATAAAATTATTAATTTTATATCCAAAGTTTGAATGTCCTGACTTGTGTTCATTTCATTCAACTTGAATGTCAGTATTAAAATGATCCTACAAATGTATTTGGAGGGTTCTTACTTGATTTCATTTGATAGTGAGACGAAGGGATGAAGTGGCAATGTATTTATTGGATTTTAGATTGCACATTCATTTCCGAGTCCCATGCCAGGGCACTCTGCACCTGACTGCACTTCTGCCTGCAGCACATTTAATTTAAAATCAGGTGCCCTAGGGGACCAGCACATGTAGACTTCCTGAGGGCTCTTCCCCAGTCATTTTTAAAGGAGCCATTTTAAATAGAATTTGGGAAGCTGGAATTTGAGGGGTAATGGTGGAAAGAGTGATTAAGTAGGGGTCTTGAAAATCATTTGTAATTTGTTTTCACTAAAATTGACAAATGAATTTGCAGTATAAGTCCATGAAGTCATCCTCTCAAACATTTTTAACAGTTTTACAGATTTTTAAAACATTATGTTCTAATTCTGTTTGAGGACCGCATTATTAAAGTTTAAAATCTACTTTATGTTTTACTTTTGAATGTTCAGAGTGACTTCTAATTTGTGCATTTTCCAATTTGTTAAGGATAAAAAAATTTTTTGTCAACCTGAAGTATTTGAGTTTAATCCATTTGTCAATCTAGTTTTCCTGAAAAGAAAGCAGTCATCTGAAAATAAAATCTTTACCTTAGATCATCTCGTTTTGAGCCTGTGTTATGAGACATGGCATAAATACTTTATATAAATAATGGATTGATCTATAAGTTAATTGCACCCAAGAGAACCTACATGGCGAAACAAAACTGCTTTGTCAGTGCTTGCTTTCCATCAGCTTATTCTGAACCTACTGTTCTGTAATGAAGAGCTGTACGACGTATTAGTTTCTCATAAGGGGTACAGATAAATGTCAACTGCAGTAAGTGAAAACTGTAATTACAGTTAGCATGGCTGGAGCCAAGTGCTGTGTGGGCAAAGCACTGTGTAAAGTTCCGTATGTAAATAGCACATCAGATAAGACCTTGCTCTGTGATTATTAAGAACATGGTGCCTTTTGCTCATTTTCCATTAGAAGTATGATTAGAATCACTTGCAAATCATATAGATCTACCTCTGGGCATGCTTTTCTTCAAAAAGGAAACCCCAGGAGCTTTTCGTACAAAGGCAAGATCTCCAAATATCTTATCTTTGAATTGAAATTTTTGAAGCCCCCTTTTCAACATTTTACTGATTCCAAGTGTGGAGCCTCTTACACATTCTATTAAATGCTATTTTCTTGTAATTTTTTTTCATTTAAATTCTTATATATATTGTAAATTAGTATACATATATTTAGTTTGTTTACAAACTCTTGTGTAGTTTAACTGTACATTAACTTACTGTTTGCCCAGGTTCCATCTATTTATAGCCCCTTGTCATTGATTCCTAGTTTCTTTCTGTCCCATGTCACTGGCTCATTGTGGTGAGAGTTTGCAATCTGATTTTCATCCACTCCAATTAAATTTAATCTTGAAGACACAGTAGGACTAGAATGAGGCTCTGAGACTATGGGTGATTTTCTTCTTTCAACATTTGCTTATTTTCTGTAATGAGCACACGTAGCTTATGATTGAGAGACATTAAATTTGATATTTTTAAAAACAGCAAAAATATTTTTAATGAAATGTCTTGTTAATCTCTTTAGTTTCACTTTTTTTGTGATAAATTCTAATGGTGAGATAAGAGTAGTAAACGAAGAGACCAGTGGTAATCCTTAGCACCCTTTCTTATTATCCTATTTATTTGGCTTGAAGAGTTTTACTTGTCTGTTTTCAGAGTATATGTTAATTGAGTGCTCAGTATTCATTACAAATAATCTTGTCTGTTTTCTCGTTGAGATTCTGAAGGCCCTTTTGCTCTCTCTGTAAAAGCCAAGCAGACTGTATTAACTTCTGGTTTAATTTAAAAAACGAATGTGGAACTTGTTGGCACAACACCTTAAAGAATTGCATGTTAAATAATTGGAAGGCTTTCCATCAGATTTGTCTCCAGTCTGAATTAATAATGTTGCTGACTTATTGTTTTAGAAGACGGAGTCCTTGACCTGCTAGGTTGAAAGAATTGTGACTGCTCTGAACCTTTGCGGGTCCTTTAGCTGTGCCATATCCCCTGTGAATAATTAGAGGCATTTGAAGGTATTGAGGTAGAAGCCAATTTGTGTCTTTCACTTTGCATATTGTTGAAGCCTCATGAATTAATCATAAGCAGGGCAAAAATTAACTTCTTCAGACACATATTTTGATGGGTCATGAGGGAGAATGTAAAGTGATCTGTAAAATATTCTACTGATCCTCTAAGTATTAAATTATTATACCTACAGGCTAATTTCAGGGGGAAAAAGAGTTCCCCCCACCTGCAGTAACTGAATAGCATATTTGAAAAAAAACCAGGGTTCGTTATTTTCTAGGACTGTAAAGAGGACTATCTAAATGAGCAATTCTATGACTTTCTGAAAACCAGATTCTTGTATTAACTCTCGATTTTAATTTTTGGGGGTCATTTTTCTTTTTACTTGTAAATTATTTGACTTTTAGATTCTTATAACTGCACCTAAACTCCTTGTTGATTTGGTAAAGTATATTGTGCAACCCAATAAATAACTCATCTTTTTAACTTTAGGTGTCTGAAGCTGTTCTAAAATTCTGAATCAAAGTAATATGGATTTCTATACTTGTTTAAAATTTAGTTTTACATTAAATCTTTTTACCATTTTCTGTTCTTTTTTTTTTTCAGCTGGTGAAACTGAAATAGCATTCTTCTGTGAAGAAGATTATGAGAAGTACAAAGCTAATCCCATTTCATCCTGGTGAAAATGTCAGGGGCCTCCTTTTTGCATACCTGTATTAAGCTCTTTATTCCACTAGTGAGTTTTTGAAATTGACAAATAAATCTTAAAAAAATTAATCCCAGGCTCTACTGTTTGAGCTAAAATCTAGTGATTTCTCTCTGCAGTTCTCTTCTTTCCTTTCTTTCTTGTTTTGTGTTGTAAAATAATATAAGAAAAACATGATTTTTTAAAGTGAAATTGTTATTCAAAAATCATCATGAAATATTGGTTCTTAAATCATAATTTATTTTTCTAAAATTAGGAATTATTTTGGTGACTTGCATGTTGGGCTCTTTAAAAAGATTATAAGACTAAGGTCATGCTGTTTATTTCGTGCTCTTTCCATAGTTTCTAATTAGAGCAACTGTTAGTATCTTTGGCTACTAGAAATTGAGTCTCTTATGACCATCAGTGCCATCTTTTAGATCAGAGAGTGTGTGATCCACTCCACCATATAGGCAATTGAAATGTGTATATTTTAGGGAAGCTCTGATGTAAGAGGGTACTTCCCCTTTGTATTAGTCCATTTGTGTTGCTTATAACAAAATACCTGCAACTGGGTGATTTATAAAGAAAACAAAATTTTTTGCTTATGGTTTCTGAGGCTGGGAAGTAAAAAGTCCATCTGGTGGTGACAGTGACCCAGGGGTCTCACATTGCAAGATGGTGGAAGCAGGAAGAGCAGGGAGAAAGACAGACTCTCCTCTTTTTTTAAAGCCCTCAGAACCACACCCCTGACCACCATTTTTAATCCGTTCACTACTGCATGGTCCTACAATCCAATCACCTCTTCAAGGCTCCACCTTTCAATTACCATAATAGGATTTCCCATACTCTTAACAGTCACTGTGGGGGCTAAGTTTCTAATACATAAAACTTGGGGGACACAATTCAAGCTTCAATGAGTTTTGGGGGGACATAATTCAATATACCCTTTTTTTAGTATTTCAGCTAATACAGATAACCTTTCTGAAATGTTTTTTTTTTTTTTTTCTGAGTGGTGCTTTCCAACTTCAGGAGAAAACTATAACAGAACCAAACTCATTTGAGAAAGGCCATGTATCTTTCCCACTCATTGAGGCAAAAACTGTGTCTTATTTTCTTCTTTATAAACTTCCCAAGAAACCTAGGTCATCTGTGAATTCAGCACATTTATTTGAGGAAGGAGGTAACAGAATGTTTGCAGTTCTAGAAGAAAATTGTTCTTTGAGAACAAGTCTGTGGCCTGGAAGATACAGTCTTTCAAAATACTATAATATTTTTGGTGTCTGATAATGGCTGACTACCAGCATCTGAGGAAGAGTAGTTTCAAAGAGGCAGCTTGTGTCTGATAAGAACTCCTAAAGAGGTTAGATGGCTCCAGAATAACTCCATGAACTCTTAAAGTTTCCAGTAGGGCAAATTGGTTTCATTGTGATAGAGTCTAGCTTAAGAAAACCTGTTTTTTTAAAAAAAAATCAACTTTGAAAGTCTGACATGATCAGAATATACTTTACTTTGTTGAAAGATTTAATAGAATCTTCTTTAAAACAGAAATTCTGTTATATTCATTGTTTCATTAATTAAACAGAGTGCTGAATTCACAGATGACCTAGGTTTCTTTGGAAGTTCATAAAGAAGAAAATAAGACAGTCTTTGCCTCGGTGAGTGGGAAAGATACACAGCAAGTGATTTTTAATAGAACAGCAGTAAAAACTGCTGTGGGAGCAATGATGATAGGTAGTTAATTGTGTGGGATTATTTTTATGTATTTTTGAAGAAGTATCAATTGAGAGCTATATCTTAAAACACTGAATAGGAATTTTTAGAAGAAGAGAAGGGTGTACTTTTTAGAAGAGAGACTAGCATATGAAAGGCAAAGCTCTCTGAAAGAGCTTGAGGTTTCAGTAGAAGCCCATGTTTCAGTGCACTGGAGAGTAAAGTACATGAAACAGAGTGGAGGAAGATAAGGCCAGAAAGGAAGGTTGAGGTAGGCCTTGTAAGTCATGCTAAGGAGTTAGAATTTTATCTAGTCAGTAGTTGGGAGCCAGTGGTAAGATTTAAACAGGTAAATTACATGATTTGTTTTGCATTTTAGAAAGTGAGATTTGGTAGCCGTGTCCAGATGGCAGAAAGACTGGAAGACAGTTGTCATCGACCAGGTGAAGACTGAAAGGGTGGGTATGGACAGAGGGGAGGGAGAGGACAGAAGATGTTCTTCAGAGTCAACATTTGCTCATGCATTAGACAGCAAGCGTGGGTGTGATAGGTACTTTACATATGTTTTCTCATTTAACTTTTACCACAACTCTTCAAACTTGATAGTACCATGTCTATTTATAGATGATGAAGTTGGGGTTCAGAGAGGTAAAATAATTTACCCAAAGTAATGCAGTAATGTGCAATGTGATTGGAGCCCAATCTGTTTTAAAATCCTGACCTTGCCCATCCCCGCCCATAGCCTCCCGGAAGAGGCATGAGGTAGAATGACAGGTGGACTGTTTGGGACTTGGTGAATGCCTGGGTGTGGATGGCATGGGGAGGGAGGAGTGGAGGCTTCAGTGATTCTGGCTGGAGTGAGTGGCTGGATTGGTGATGACAGCATTAACCCAAATAGAGAACTCAGTAAGTAAAGGGACAGATGAAAACATATTCCTTTTGTTCATTTTGCAAACATTCAATTTACATACAGGCTTTTCTTTTTCATGTAAAAGTAAGCATATCTTTAACTGTATATTTTCTTTTCAACAAATAATACAAATGTATATATGTGTGTGTACATATATATATAATATACCTTTTTTAGTGCATGTGTATTTTTCTTATTATAAAAGTTACATAAGGGTTATTTTCACTTATAACCACAGATATAAAAATCAAAAATAAAAATATATTATGACTTAAGACTTTTACCAGGAATGGAAGGTTGGTTCAAAATTAGAAAACTTACCAATATAATTTATAAAGTCTATAGATTAAAGAAGAAAATTATGCTGCATTTGATGATATTCATCCTCATACATGAGTAAAAATTAGCAGTGTAAAGGCATGCCCTTAACTTGATGAAGGTTACCCACAGAAAACCCACTTAATGGAGATGTGTTTAAATCAATCTATTAGATATGACTAAAACAAGGATGACCACTGTTGCTGGTACTGTTCAGAATTGTTCTACAGGACTTATTGTAGCCAACACAATAAGAAAAGAAAAGCAATAAGAACCACAGATATTGAAGAGGAGACAAAACATTCATTTGCAGGCAATATGATTGCAAGAGAATCAAGTGACAAGTTATCGGAACTAAGAGACTTCAGGATTGCTTAGTAATGAGCCTAAAATGAATTGTTCACATAAGCTATGAAGTGTTATTAGGGATTATAAAAGACCTAAATAAAGAGAGAGAGATTACATTTTCATATATGGAAGATATGGTGTTCTAAAGATGTAGATTTGTACCTAATCTGTAATTTAGTGCAATCTCAATTAAAATCTCAAAGGATTTATCATGGAACGTGAAAACTGGTTTTAAAGTTCATTTGGAAAAGTGGGGCCGGCCTGTGGCTCACTTGGGAGAGTGTAGTGCTAATGACACCAAGGCCATGGGTTTGGATCCCTATATAGGGATGGCCGGTTAGCTCACTTTGGTGAGCATGGGGTTTTCAACACCAAGTCAAGGGTTAAGATCCCCTTACCAGTCATCTTTTTTAAAAAAAAGAAAAAGTTCATTTGGAAAAGTAAGTGTGTAAGAATAGCCAAGATCAATTTGGAAAAACAAAAAGCAGAGTCAGGGGGAAGGGGTGGTTGCCAAAATGTATTTTAAAGGTGTAATCAAAACAGCTTGGTAATCAACAGAAATAGACAAAAAGATCAATGGAATAGAATATAGAAGTTGACAAATGTATATGGAAACTTAATGTACAAGGGTACTTCAAAAAGTTTGTGGAAAAATGGAATTGCAAGGTAATGTGAATCTTTCCATGAATTTTTTTTCCCCCCAAAAGATGACTAGTAAGGGGATCTTAACCCTTGGTGTTGTCAGCACCACACTCTCCCAAGTGAGCCATGGGCTGGCCCTTTCCATGAATTTTTTGAAGACTTCTTGTATTATAAAGGTAGTATTTGTAATCAGTGAAGAAAAGAAAGACTGTTTAACACATTGCTAGGAGTTTAAAAATGATTAAGGGCCTATTTCATATTCACTAAAATTTCAGGTGGATTAAATAACGAGATATGAAAAACAAGGTGATTAGCTTGTTAGAAAAAAATGTAGATAACTTTGGGGTAGAGAAACGTTTTTTTTATTTAAAATTTTTATTATTAGCATATTCATTTTTATAAATCATGATATTTCTTTATGCCCTTTGCCTGACCTATCTGATGTTATCACTTGAGAAGGCTTCTTAAAACACAAAATGCAAAGCCATAATTTGCCAAATTTTGAAGTATTTATTTGAAAAACTGGATTTCAAAAAAAAAAAAAAAACAAAAGTTGAAAAGCAAGTAAAGACTGGGAGAAACCGCTTGAACTTATAAAATAGACAAAGGATTAGTTTCTGGAATATATAAAGAGCTCCTACAAATTAATGAGGAAAGGACAAACATACAATAGAAAAATGGACACATGTTATAAAGATTCATATAAAAAGAAACATATGGCTCACAAATGTTCAAAAAGATGCACATTCTGTTTTGCAAGGAAATTAAAACAACAGAGTATTGTTTTCTTTCATTAAAATGGCAAAAAGTAAAGGGTTTGGTAATAGATATTGGCAGTGACATGTGCCTACACGGCCAATGGGAGTATAAATTCACGTACAGTCACTTAGGCAAGCAATTTGGTGTGGTATCTGTTAAAATAATGAACGTTATCCTATTGATGCAGCAGTTCTAGTTCTTGGAATCTATCCTAAAGAAACCCTCTCAAGCCTACAGAAGGAGGCATTTTTATGAGGAAATTCACTATAGTGTTTTAATAGAAGAACGCTTAAGCAACCTAATTGATGTAAGAAGACAGTAGCGATATAAACTATAGTTTATCTGTATTCTGGATTCCTACTTAATCTAAATCAGTGAGGGACATCTATATTATTTACTGATATGGGATGGGCTTGGAGACATCTTAATGGATGAAATGACAGAGGGACTCAAAATGTCATTTGTTTAAGAAAAGAATGAAATGATACTATATGTTTATATACTATGTATATATGTATGTTGTTATGGTC